TGAATCCTTTTGGACTAGAAGTCCCACCATTGGCTCTGCCAGCATTTTTCCAGAACTGCTGTTATGTTTTGGTGTTAGTTTTTACCCTCATGATACTGATTTTCTCCATTATGTTACCAGGAAATAAGTTTCAGCCATTGTTGGACATTTTTGATCAGGGTTAAGTATGCTATAGTTCCTGGGCCAGATGTGGCCCACTGCCTGTTTTTGCTAATAAAATGTTATTGGAACATAGTTGTACCCATTTGTTTATGTATGTGTCTGTGGTTCTTTGGTGCTACCATGACAGAGTTGAGTAGTTTTTACAGAGACTGAATGCCCCCAAACCCCCAAATATTTACCATCTGGCCCTTTACAAGCAAAGCTGACTAACCCCCGATTTAGGCAATGATACATGCTATCAGCCCACAGTACCCCATGTGTGGTGAATGTCTGGTGTGAAGCAGTGTGGTAAAGAGGTGGTGCGTGCATGCAGAGCTTGACAGGCCTGGGTCCCCCACTTACCAGCTTTGGGCAAATTATTGAAATCCTTTGAGATCTTTTCCTTATTGTGTGAAAGGGGCATCGAAAGCAGTGCCTACCTCCCAGGCGATTGTGCACACCGCTTGTAAAGGCACTTTGTGGATGTCAGAACAGGCCCTCGGTTCAGCTGTTGACATTATTGATACCATTCTCTTACTCAGGAAGAGGAAGCCAAGAAGCTGGTGAGTGAAGCCATTGCAGCTGGCATATTCAACGACTTGGGTTCTGGCAGCAACATTGATCTCTGTGTCATCAGCAAGAGCAAGCTGGATTTTCTTCGTCCATACTCAGTGCCCAACAAGAAGGGGACCAGGTCAGTGAAAGAGATGTTTATCCTGTGTCCCCTGGCTTTGTGGTTACCCTTGATGTTCCCAGGGCCTCTGGACACAGTCTTCTTAATTCTTTCCCACATTAAGTACATCCAGTGTTCCCAAATCAGCTTGGAGTCATTGCTTCTTTATGACAGTGGGCTGCTGTTGGGTGTAGGCATGATTTGATTTGATGGGAGAGGTGGAGGGGCCAGGAAAAAGCCCTAGGCTGGGAGGTAGGGAGGAGAGTTTGAGTCATCTGCTGTCCTTTCTCAAGTGTCTTGAAGAATCCCCTGAAATTGATCTGAAGTCTGGGAGGAGGTGCATTTTTCAGGGCAGCCAGCCCATAGCTTTCCCTCAGAGTGCTCTGAGCCTCCTAGAAGGTTATAACCAGTGCCAGCAGCCTCCCATAGTGAGCCTCAGGAGCTAACTGGTGTCTGCAACGCTAGAGGGAGTCATGCTTTTAGCTTGTGGTGGTATGTGCCAAGCAGGCCCCTTATCTCAGTGGTGCAGCCCGGGCTCAGAGTGGTGGGAAGAGGTTCTAGGTGAGTTGAACAGAATTGGAAGGTTTCCAACCCAGATGAGCAGCTGCAGATGAGCAGCTCGTTTGCAGTACCTGGATAGTCTCGTGGTCATCCAGCCACTTGGCCATCCTGTGGCTCCTGACCTCTTCCGGGAGCCCCAGCAGTGTAGAATATGGCTCTCTGAGCTGTGCCTCCGGTTGCTGTCATGAGTGCAGCATGGCAGTATGTGTAAACTCCAACCTCCTATTCAGCTCCATGGGCTAGCTCAGAGGATGGTAAGCTTCACCTTCTGGAATGTTTGCTTTAATCCTCCACTACACGCACTCCAAATCAGGAACAATTCATAAGGAAAGAATAGAACATTCAAACCAAGCAGGTATTCACTACAGCCTGCACTCAGCATTGCAGAAACTCTGTGTGCTCTTGCAGCTCTGTATGTCTTACGGGCAGCAGGACTCTGGCACAAGGGCTAGGGGGATGTCAGCTGGCTTGGTGGCAAGTCAGTCTCCCTGTCTTTGAAATGAAGCTAGACTATGGAACCTCTAATGAGCCCACAGAGTCCCTTGGGCCTTTGGCAAGAAGGGAAGTCACCTTTCTGGCCCAGAGCTGTGTTGGAACAGGCTTTGCCGAGCTTCTGTTAGTTGAGAGCTTGGCCTGCTTCCCTGGTGGTATACCTGCAAGGTGCTGCATAACTCTAGCAAGTCCAGGTAAAGAGGTGAAGGGAAGGGAGGGGAGGGTGACTCCCTCCCCTTCATACTGAACAGGGTTCTGGATGAGGATTCTGAAAGCCATACTTGAGCTATTGAGAAGTTGTTTGTGGTGCCCAGGGAACCTGTGCTCAGCACAGGAGTCCTTGTCCAGAAGGGAAGGCTGCAGTGGCATGTCTTACTTCCTGGGGACATGGGTTTGTCAGCTGCAAGGAGACTGTAAACACACAAGAACAGAAGCAGAAGCACCTGTACCTAATCATGAAGGCTTGGTGAGGTGATGTGGAAGGTGTGTGGTAATGTGTGGTAACCTGTTCTCTGCTTGGAGCTGCTAACCCTCAGTGCCCTGGGGCTGAGGACACTACAGTGATCGTGTCTATACACCCTGGACTCTGTCATCTTCTCTGCCACTGACTGCTGATGGGGGCACAGCCTGGGTTAGGCAAAGTCCTTTTCCAGAATGGACTGTCAGGGTGAGGGCGGACCTTAGCTTGGGCAAGCATCTTGTGCCCAGCACCAGTGTAGACCTTACCTTACAAATTCCTATTGCTCTCTCTGCTCTCAGCCCTCCACAGCCCTGCTACAGTCCGTTGTTGCTTAGGGCAGAAACCTTCCCTGCCGAAAGCAGACATGACAGCCAGGGTGGTGCAGTTCAGATGAGTCAGGCACACAGCGGCTATAGGGGACTCTGGCTCTAAGAGTGCACATGGGGTGCCATCTTCACACCAGTGGGAGTGGATAGGACACATTTTAAGAAGGTGTTAGTATTCAGATCCTTTAAGAGTGCAGTAGGGATGGGAATGCTTTGCAGAGTAAAGCAGATTGTCTCTTGCTGACCCTGTAAGGTGCCCTTTTTTATCTGCTTCCTGCTCCCCCTTTGAGCCCAAACACCCATTGGGGAGGTTGGTTTCCTGGAGCACATGGTCATGGCATAGCCAGCAGCCTTCTATTAGTCCCTGCCAGTTTGACAGAAATAGTGTCCCAGCTGGGGACAGACCAGAGGAACAGTTGGGTTTCTGCTGCCATTTGATAGTATCTTAATGCCTGGCCCAGTGTGAGAATTAACAGCCCAAATATGTATCTTATAGACTACCTTGTGCTCAAAGAAATCTCTGGCAGATTCACTCCAAGGAAGAAGGTGCTGGGTGTGTCCCTGAAGGGGAGTGACGTCTCTTGTCTTGAGAGTGGTCTAAAGTGATAAGTTCAGAGCCTGGCTGTGAACCATTTTATACTGCTTATGCTTCCAGATATTTTTTAAAAGGGTGTTAGGTAATAGTTAAGTCCTCCTTGTTGCTGCACAAGAGGAGGATGATCACGTCCTTCTCTCATATAATGAAAGGATTTGCTTCCTGCTGGTTACTAAAAGGTGCTTAAGGGAGGTTGAATACTGATGTCAGATGACCAAGTTGTTCCCTGTGTGGACTGGGGAAGGTGCAGTTCAAAGGAGGTCTGAGTGCCCACTAAATGCTGGGGCTTTCTCTGTTATCCTTTAATGTACACTACATGCCTACCAGAATCCCCCTTTTGCAGCACTTGAGAGCTGAGGAGAGTGAGCCTTGGGGAAGCTGCACCCCCAGGTCACAGTTCTGGACTAAGGAGAGCCAGGCCCCAGTGCAGCCTACTCAGTGCAGCACCTGAAGGGTTTTTTCACCTCTCCAGCCCTCTTTCTGGTGCCTTAAGGGGAATCCTAACCCTGTGCTTTTTTTTCCTCACTAGGTTTGGCCGGTACAGGTGTGAGAAAGGGACCACTGCGGTGCTCACTGAAAAAGTCACCACCCTGGAGATTGAGGTGCTGGAAGAAACAGTCCAGACAATGGACACTTCCTGAGTGGTGTCCATGGATGACTGGCTATTGCTTTACAAGATGGCAGGTGTTAGAGCCCCCTGTAAGACATTCATTGGCTAGTGTTTGCTGAAACTCAATAAAAGATGAAAACCAAATTGAGTGACTAAGGTCTGGGGACTGTGTGGGTTTCTTTTTGGCCACTAAGGCCCAGCAACCCGGGGTGTTAATCCTCCTTGAGTACCAGTTTGGGTTCAGGTGAGTGTAAGCCACAGAACCCTTCTGAGAATAGACTGGGCCTTCTCTGTTGCTTTGATTCTTCAGACGAACATTTATACCCACCCCTTTTGCTGACTGCCTGTGTCTTTGTTCGGGATGGCTCCAGGTTTGTTTTGTTTTTGAATAGGGTGATAAGTGCAACACAGCCTTCACCTCAGCAGCCAAGTAGGAAAGAAATGTCCAAGATGAATCTCCAAGTTCGAGTTCTTCAAGCTCAGTTTAATTTAGTTCAAAGTACCAAGAAAAGGCAGGCAGGTGAAACTGGGTGAACTCCACTTTGGCCAGTTTCATGGAAATCAAAGGAATGTTTTGGGGTTGTAATAAGTAGGACAAGGTTGTTGCACAAACACTCAGACCTGGTGAATGGTTGCGATTGTGCATCTCCAGCGGGTGCACCTAGGTGGGTTGTTCTCACAGTGTGGCAAGTGGGTGGTGTGCAGAAAGCCAGGTCACCTGCGAGCTGGGGCCAACTGTGCCAAGGGGAAACACAGCAGGGGCTCTGACAGCCAGAAGCAGAATATTGCAAAAAAAAAGTCTGTCTGGAATCAGAAAAACTTTTCAGTGGTTTAAGTGCTAGGCATGAGACTGGGATGTGGTTTTCTCATGGAGGGAACATTCCAAGGTGAACCCACTCTCAGCCCAGCTTCCTGTTACCACTGCCAGGAGTGGGCTGGGAAGAACACTTGGCTAGAGACTGTCAAAATTATGGGGGAACTTACAGAAATCCCAGTATTACTCAATGTCTGGGGCCTGGGAAGTTGTATTTTTAAAAGGCTCCTCAAGAAATCGTACTGCTGACAGTGTTCTGAGTTGTGGATCTCCTGGATTAAGAGCAAACTCTCCAAAGCCATTTAAAAATCATTCATCAATTGTACCCTTTGACAGAAGTAACTCCTCTCACCCCGATTTATTTCAAACATGGAGAACAAGTACAGAGGAAAGAGTGCATCTGGAGAAAATTCCTTGAGCCCCAAAGTGTTACAGTAGAACCAAGTCCACACATGGATGCAGCAGCAGCCCAGTCCTGGATGTTTTATCCCTAGGAGCCTGGGTCAGCAAGTTTGCCACAGGCAGCTAGATGAGTGTCACCTGTCCAAGACCACAACAGTGCTCTCATCTGGAGGGCTGAACTGTCACCAAGACAGTGACGACAACTTGGACCATTTGAAGCTTAACTTGAGTATAAACAAAATTCAAACTGTTTCCTTCAGAGCTCGAGTCTTCTTAGGTTCACATTTATAAATTAGTATTCACAGTTAATCCTATTTGGGAACAAGAAATAAATGAACACATTTCTGGTTTCCTACAAGTAATATAGTTATACTTTAATTCTTGACTTACATGGTCCATTGACTTTATGAAGGGGTGAGTGGCTACCATTTTGGGATTATTTACATTGTGCTAGCTAATTTGCATATGTTGGTTCAAATTTTGTCAGCAGCCTTGAAGGTAGATACTGTTAATCCCATTTTACAGATGAGGAAACTAAGGCTCAGAATGGCTAAGAAACTCGGCCAAAGTCACACTAGAAGTTGCAAAACCAGAATTTTGTAAAGGACAGCCTGAGGGCAAAGCCCTTACGTTTTTTATACCCCATACTTCCTTCCTGCGGAGGAATCATGCTCAACACTGATCATGAAATGAAACGCCAGCATTCAAGGAGGTGGCGGAGTGTGTGGCACACAGCAGGCGTCCAGAAGACGGCCAGAGCAGGCTGTAGGGAGAACTGGTTTTCTGGTACCATTTGCCTTGTGAAGCTCTGTGCCAGATGCTGGGCACTCCTCATTGTCCTTCATTACTACGAAATGTACATTAAAAAATTAGCAGAATCTCCACTCTGCTTAAAAATGATCTCTGCTTTATCCCTTTACAACAGACTGAGTTAAGCATAGAGCTTGGTTGTTTGAAAAGATACTAAGAACTAAACTGAACTTGGTACTAACCGTTTTCAAAGGCTCACTACACACACCAGTCTCCTGTTGGTTAAACCGTGACAGGTCACTGGAGGAATTACCCTAAAGATTCACATTGCAATCCAAATACAAGGGGGGCTTCAGTGGCTTGGTGAACCAGCTGCCCTTGTTAACAACCCAGCTGAGATTGTCCACAACAGTAAAAGAAAGAACTTTGAATTTGACCATCAGTGACATATGACCAGCGCCCCTACCCCCGGCCACCCTGTATTCAGCATCTGCTGCAAAGCTGGGTCCCCTTTTGGGGAACTGGCTGAACCCCGTTGTCTTAGCTGTTCTAGGCTACCAGGGGCCACTTCGGAGAGAAGGCTCAAGTAAGGCAAAGTGGTGCTGGCTTCTGATAAGGCACGGTGCATCTATGCTCAGGTACTTGAGGTCCAGACATGCATCTGTTTGGCCACCTGGTGCACGTATCCGATGTCGGGTCTCTGGTTCGGGTCAGGATAGATGCACATACTGACCAGTTCTCGTAACTGCAAGGAAGGGAATGGTGTGTCATTCTTAAGAAAGCAGCTCCATGTGGACTCAGCATGTTTACCTGCACTAAGGCATTTAATCCTCACGGCAACTCCATGGTCCCAATTGTCCCCACTAGAGATAAAGAATGGTGCTTAGCGAGGGTAAGGGGTGTGCTGTCGCACAGCTCCCATGGGATAGACAGGACTGTCTGCCTGACCCCAAAGGCCACAGTTTGAGGCCCTGAGAATGGGCACCTCCAAATAATTTTGAACTTTGTCCACACCACCAGGCAAATCTGTTTGTGTGTGTCTGCTGTCAGTCACACAGATGCCCAAACCAGAGGACAAAACTCAAGGAAAGGGCTTATTGATCATAATAAATGCATTAACATGCAGCAGGGCTGCAGTCTGCCCACCCCCTGGCCTCTTTATTGTGTTCATGAAAGATGGGGCTTTTAATTATACAGACACTGAAGGCTGCTCCCGCCTCGAGGTGGGGGAGGGGCGCCTTGAGCCTCTGATCGACTCCGCTCTTCTGATAGCCGGAGTGCCAATTATTTTAATGGTAATTAAAATAATGACCTTAAAAAGCCTACATCTTAACTTGCATCCCAGGCTCATGCAATGGTTTCCATTTAAGTACCTGCTGCTGGAGGGGCTGGCTGGCCTGGGGCCGTGTCAGCAGGGAGCAGGAGGTCCTGAGTGAGGGGCTGCAGTGGACTGAGGAGGGGCACACTCAGGGAATCTGGGGAGGGTCAGAAGGACTTTCCAGAGGCTCAGGGGTGACTGCAGCACACCTTCCCCACCATCCCCTCAGGCTGAGGGCACCAGGGCCTGGGCTTCCTGCAATCAAGGGGCTCCTGGATAGAGCATCTAACTGCTCTGTAAAGCCTCAGGGCAGCTCCTCCAAGCTGTGCTCATGCCTTTCTGGGCTCCCACTGCTTTATAAACACAAGATAGCAGCCGGCTTGGACGCTTCTGGGTTCTGAGGTCACTCTTCTGAACTTCACAATAATCAGGGGAAGGTGTCTGTGCTTGGCCTCTGACAGGTTCGAATACCCAAGAAAACTATACTCAGGTGATGTCTATGTGACCTGAACTACTCATTTGAGTAGACCACACATTTGGCAATATTTTTTTTTGTTTTTTTTGCGTTGGAGTCTCACTCTGTCGCCCACACTGGAGTGCAGTGGCCGCTCCCGGCCACCACAGCCTTGCCTGCTGGGCTCTGGTGATCCTTCCGCCTCAGCCTTCCGAGTAGCTGGAACTACGGGTGCGTGCTACGACGACCGGCTAATTTTTGATTTATTGTAGAGATGAGGTCCCGCCAAGTTGCCCAGGCGGGTCTCGAACCCACGGGTTCAGGCAATCCACTCGCCTCAGCCTCCCAAGGCGCGGGCTTACAGGCTGAGCCACCAAGCCCGGCTGGCAATATTTGAAATGTTCAGAAATCAAAAGAAACAAAACAAAAATAATAAAATGTCTTATTTTAAATTCTAAGAGGTGGTATAATTTTAAAGTTGGGGTGTTCTGAGGGACTCCTCAGCAGCACCTCTCACTCCTGCACACGAGGCCTAGAAATGCTGCACGAAAGTGGTGAAAGCGGGTGCTCAGGGGAGTAGGAGCTTGTGGCAAGGGAATGGCTACCTAAGGAGGGATGTGGCTTCCTGGGGTGTTCATTTCAGCCTCATAACTGAGGCAGAGATGACAGTTCTGTTATGGACAGGCAGCTGAAGCACAGAGTTATGATCTGCTGCGGGTTGCATGGCTCTAAGCTGCTTGCATTTGAACAGTACAGAAGTCCAAATTTAAACAAGATGGAAAATGGAAAAGCAGAGAGGGGAACTCTAAAGAAATGTGACTAGTTTTTCCTTTCTGGCCATCCTCCACTGGAGAGCATCAGTGCTTCCTCCAAAGGTGCAGATGAGAACTCAGCAAGCTCCTGAGGTAGGGGCCAGGGTAGGAGGGTTCAGGGGCCAGGGAAAAGAGGGTTCAGTGTGGCTCTCCATGGTCGATCTCCACACCCTGGGCGTCTGCAAAGCCACGAGCAGCACACTTGGCACAAGGAGGGCATCCCGCCTGGATGTGTGGTCAGAGCATGGGACCTGAGCTGTGCAGCGTGGTTCGTGCAAGGATGCTCCTTCCACAGCCTCACCTCAGCTGGACAGTGGGCCACCGAAGAGACAGGTCATCAAGCAGGATGGCCCAGTGACTGGGAATAGGGTGCAAATCCTGCCTCACCATTTACAAGTTCTTTCACCTTAGGTGACTTCCTTAACTCAGGGATCCCCAAACCCTAGGCTACGGACAGGTACTGGCAGAGCTCCACCTCTTGTCAGATCAGTTGGGGTGTTAAATTCTCATAGGAGTGCAGACCCTGAACTGCTCGTGCAAGTGATCTAGGTTGTGAACTCCTTATGAGAATGTCATGCCTATTGATCTTCCCCATCCTCTGACCGTGGAAAAACTGTCCTCCGTGAAACTGGTCTCTGATGCCAAAAAGGTTGGAGAATGCTGCCTTACCCTTCTGTGTCTCAGTTTATTAGTAAAAGGGGGTATGGGAGGATTCAGCACAGGAAGTTCACATGTGAGCTGTTATTATTGTGAGGTAATTGCCTGTGGTCCTGTGGGGTGGGCTCAGGAAGGCCTCAAACTCATATTAACATTCATCTTGGACAGAAAATTACGCTTAGTGAACACTGACACTGAGCCAGGTCACGTGTTACATCCAGTGACTACGTTTTTAATGATGATGGCAGTGTTAGCTTGGTACTACACTGAGCACATCACATGCCTTACCTTAACCCTTACACTGATTCTGTGTAGAAGATTCTAGTATTAGTATTTACAGATGAAGAAACTGAGACTCAGGGAATGGAAGTGACTCACCCAGGAACAGCAAGGGGAGTGTGTGAACCTATGTCTATCTACACCTTTAACCACTGTAATGCCATGAAACCTGTCATTTAATCCCCACAATTCCCTATCTTCACGATGAGGGAACTGAGGAGGATGACATTTACACATGCTAGTAACTGGCACAGCCTGATGCCAGACTGCTGGAGTCCACAGCCCCTGTACCCCATGTGAAAACAAATCCAAGGTGAGCCTGAGGGCTGTTACCATAAGAGAGAGACCAACCAGGCCGCTTGCTGTGGTCTCCTGTTACAGGAATGGAGTGATGGTCTCCTGTTACAGGAATGGAGTGACAGCCGTCAGCATGGGGAGCCAGGGCCTGGGGCCTCCATCCGTATCTGGTCTGGCACCACGTGAAGCCCATCCTTGGGACCTCTAGCGGCAAGCCTCACACCTAGCTGGGAGCCAAACGGGCAGAAGTGTGCCAATGGCCACATTGGCCAGCTTCCGCCGGTTCTGACGGGCCACACTGGTGTCAGTGAAGCCCCCTCTGTAAAATTCATCTACCCCCTTTGAGTCCCTTTTCCAGAAAGCTTTCTCTGCCCTGTAAAGTGAGCCTAAGCTCTGCCCCACAGCTGTGGTGCTTTGGAACTCCCCTCCTGAGCCATGGCTGACCATCCTGGGCTCCCCAGCCTCGGCCTGTGGTGTCAGTAAACTCACCTTCTCCGAGTAGTGCTCTCCAGAGAGAGGTGGGTAGTCACACTGCTCAATCTTCTGGCAGAGGGAGAAGAGATTCATTTTATCACCATAGAAGGGGCTCTGGAGAGCGGCCATCTGTAAGAGGAGGGACAACAAAGATGAATTCCAGCCTGGAGGTCCAGAAGGACTTGAGAGGCAAGAGGGGGCCACTCCAGATTGGGGTATGGCCCCTCTCTGGCCCTTGCTGCAGAGACTGTCCAGCAGAACTCCCTGAAACCCCAAGCAAGCTGGGGTTCAACAGAAGTTTCCTGAGTAAAGGAATTAAGTGGGGACAAGGGTTTTGATGACAACGCCGAAAGGTGATGAAGAGACAGCTGGTGAATCCTAGGGGCTTATCTCCCTCCTCACTTCCGCCTGGGCTCTCCAGGGCCGTGGGCATGTGGGCTCTACTCCAGGGCAGCTCTGGGGAGGAAGGGCAGTGCCTGGCTCTCACTGACTGCTGAACTTTGGTTTCCTTATCTGTGAAATGGCTCCACCCCCAGGCCTGTGGTGTACTTAGATGGGCACATGGAGAAGGCTCCACCCACTGAGCCGTCACCATCGCTAACCAGGTAGCACCTGCTCCACCCTGAAGGCAGGCCATGGCTCAGGGGAGCGACAGGACTGTAGGGTGGCGCCCCCCAGTGGGTTCTTCCTGAGTCAGGCGCTACCGGCCTCCCCTTCCAGAGGGTGTCCAGATTCCCCAGCCCACCATTCAGAACCCCAGTGGGGGGATTCTCCAGTGGACTGTGCAGGAGCCATGAGTGGCTCTGTGCGGCAGCAGCGTGGCAGCACAGCGTGGCACCCGCTGGCCCCATCTGCTGATTAATCCGTAATGGGATTCAAGTGCTTCTTGTCACTCCCGCTCACTGTCGCCTACTGCCGAGGGACGGCCCAGTGCTGCCTGCTAATGAAATGCCGTTGAGTAAGCATGCCTGCCTGTCCGCTTGGCCCTGGTTCCCTTCTGAGGATCCAGGCTGCCAGGGCCACTCTGCTGTGGCTTCCTGACCAAGGGCCCTGGCTCTGGCTGCAATGGGGCATTGGGCAGACTCCTCCCTTGTCCTTATGCCCTGCAGGGTGGGCCAGAGGGCCCTACCTCAAGGCAGAAGGAGCCCACGGCAGCAGGGTTTGTGAGTTTCCTGGTCTTCCCCATCCTCTGTTCACCTGTGAGCCCCAGAGCAGGGTCTGCCTGACCCAGGGAAGCTTCAGAGCCCTGGCAGCATCCTTGGGTTTGCAGATGCCCTTTGGGAAGGCAGCAGAGTGTGGCCTGGAGATTTTGGAGTTTCCTGAGACCCAAATCCAGCACCTGTGGGTCCAGGTGCCTAGGCCATGCCAAGTGCTCTCAGGTGGCTGTTTAGGGACAGCATTCTCTCTCACTGACCAGGGGCTCGGGCCCCTCTGTGGGTCGAGAACCCTTCTGGACCATGAAAGCACCCCTGCAGAAAGGCTGCAGAGAGAGAGGCTCTGGCCTTGGCAGGGGAAGGATGAGTATTCAGAGGCCCTGCTCACTTAGGGGTCCGCCGACCTGACCGGGAGCTAGCTTTACCGTTGAGTCTGCAATGGCGTCACAAGGGTGATGCATTGCCAGTAATTATGAAAACCTCAGGTGCAAAGGGTTAATTGGGCAGCTTTAAAAGACATCTGTTGCCATAGTAGAGAGCAGCTGAGACTTCAGGGCGGTCACTTGGGGCGATCTGGGTGTCCTCCCAGTCATGGCTGGAGGATTAGGATGGATTTTCCTGGAAATGGCTTCTGTTTGGAGTAGAAAGGACATTTACATGTTGGCCCCGTTCATGCGGGCCCTTGTTTTTCATGTGTCTGGCCTGGGAGAGGAACTGCTCGACCTCCAACAAGCCAATCTGATCTGACTTTTACAAACCTCGATGCTCAGGACTCCAAATGCCCCAGGAAACTGGAGGGGGCAGGGAGCCCCCAGATTCAAATCACTTCTCCATTCTCCCCAGTGCCTTCCCTACATCATCTGAGAGCAGCTTTTGGAATAGGGTCAACAGTGGGCCACCCCAGCCTTCCCTGCTCCCAGGGGCTCCTCCATTTGTAGACAGACTCCAGCAGAGCAGCATCCTGACCGACTCCCCCTCCTGCTGTCGGCCCCGGGCCTTCCTCCCAGGTCAGGGTGATGGGCTGTGAAGGAACCTCTGGGCTGCTGGGAAGAGAACGATTCCCCGCTGGTGAGATCTTCTCATGCCGGTGCCCACCCGGCCCCTGACTGGTTGAAGTAGAAGAGGAATTGCCGTCTGGGGCTGATCTAGGACCTTGTTAGGGCTGCGGAAGCCATGGCTCTCAGCCCTGCTTCTCAAATGCAACATTTCTTCTCTCGGGTATCATCGGGGTGACACACAGCCAAGGAAAAGGGAGCGGGTGGGCCCTGGCCCCTGCGGGGAGGGCTCTAAGAAACTGGTGTGTGATCTGAGAATGTCAAGAGGAGAAGGGGAACTGACTTCAGCAAGAACAGCAATCGCATCTGATGCCCGCCTGTCAGCAGCGCCTCAGTCTCCCATCTTGTCACCCAGTTGTCTCCGAGCACACCCCAGCAGAATTCCATAGCAGACCCCGGGCTCGGCACAGCTGACCTTTCCCCTCTGTCTTGCTGGGTCTCAGTCCCACAAGAGGCCCTCGAGGCTGCATGGGGAGGCCCTTCCATGAGGATCCCAAGGCAGGCACCAAATAAGCCCCTTCAGCTCCATGCTCAGAGCTGAGCTCCATGTAAATAAGTAAATTCTGCAAAGCTCAGGCAGCCTGCTGTGTGCCTCCATGGGCGTGCTGGGTAATGAAAATAAAGCACCGGGTCTTCCGACAGTCATGCTCAGGCATCCGATGTGCTCCTGGCCGAGGAGCCCCTGCGGCGGGCTCCTTGCAGCCCAGCCTGCGAGCCTTGAATCAAGCGGGTGTCCGTGGCAGCAATGCAGAGCCACCTGGCACGTCTCCTGATGTTGACCTTCCAAGACACTCCATGGGGCACCACAGAGGGCCATAGGCCGGGTGTGGTGCTTGGTGGCGGCTCTGCGCTGGCCACGGGTCAGCCTCGGCAACTTCAGGTGACCTCAGGGAGTCCTCAGTGATAGCTGGATGCCCAGGTTCCAAAGGGGGTGTGATGGGCTCCATAATGGGCCCCAGAGACACCCATGTAAACGTCACCTCATAGGACAAGTAGGATTTTGCGGGTATGATTAAATTTAGGGTCCTGAGGTGGGAGATTATTCTAGGTCATCCAGATGGGCTCCATGTAACCACAGGGCTCTTTTGAGAGGGATGCAGGGGGACATGCCTGCAAAAGAGGAGTAGGAGACATGCCAATGGAGGCAGGAGTCTGGAGCCCACTAGGAGAAGCCCTGGAGCGCAGGCAGGAGAGGCCAAGGAGGAAGCCGCCTTGGCCGGAGAGACGGAGTTTGGGTTTCTGGCCTGCAGAACTGGAAAAGAATTCATGTATGACATTTGAAGCCATCAGCATTGGGAATAGGTTACTGCAGCCGCAGGAAACGATGAAGGGGCTTCTGGGACTTCCCAGGCTACACTGGGGCTCGGGGAAGGGAAGGTCTTTTGGGGCCATCCTGATCGCGGTGTGTTCCACCAAGGAACCCTCAGATTCCTGAATCTGGAGGGGGCGGGGCTCTGTCACAGCTCTCCAGTTGGTGCCCCTGGAGGACACAACAGGCTGTGGAACAGGAGGCTCAGTCGTGACTGCAGGATGTCTCCTTCCAATTACCACAGCCCTGGGCTCGAGGCAGCCCCTCCCTGTCTGCCAGGGCACACCCGCTCCCTCTTCCTCTACTGGGCTGCAGGAGTGGGGAGGGATACCACCTGGGGCAGAGCCCCTACCCTGTTCCCCTTGGAGGGGCTGGCGTGGTCCTGCCAGCCATGCAAACCCTCTTTTGTGGGGGGTCAGGGCCATCAGGTTGAGATTGGTGTCGCTGTCCCTGAGGACTGGATTGATTTGTTTCATTGACTTCCCACTTCCGACATGTCCCTCTCTGGCTGATGCCCCACTGCCCGCTCACCCCCAACAAACAAATCAACTCTGCAGAGCTCAAGCCTGGAAGCGGGGGAGCCACCAAGGTGGAATGCTGCCTCGTTAGACATGCGTTCAGGTGCCCATGAGGAGGACTAGAAGGGCAACTGCCTACCAGGAGTCCGGTGAGGCTGCTGCTGTGGGCCTGGCACAGCTGGCTAGGCTGTGTCTGCCTCCTCAGAGAAGCCGAGACAAAGGCTTGGGCAGGGAACAGGGCTGACCACTGCAGGGCCGCTCTTGGGCGGAAGGCTTGGCACACGCGGAGGGAACCAGCTGCTGCCCTCCCCGGCCCAGCCCTGGGGAGATGCACTCAGCTCTGTCACCCATCAGCCTGCGTGTGTTTGTGGATGTTTGGAGCCCCTCGTGGTTCATGGAGGGCAAGAAGCAGTTTACGAAAATGCAAAGCGCAGAAAAAGGAAGAAAACCATCTGGACGAGGGGCTGTGTACACGAGGATGGGAGGACAAAGCAGAGTGCTCCCCAGGGACTGACACTGAGCTGTACTTTGGCTTCCTGCTGGCCAAAGCAGAAAGGGAAATGTGGCAAGCTGCAGGGTCTCCCACCTGAGGTGGGCAGAGGTGTCAGTGCTCAGCTTGCACTGCGTCAGTGGCTTGGACAAGCCTGAGGGCCCCCTCTGAGTCGGGTGCTTCCCACAAGGCAGACCGGGACCCCATTCTATACACAGTACGGCTGGAGCCCATGGGGGCTGCCTTGCCCCAGATCTTCCTGTGGGTGAGGGCTGGAGCTGCGGCTTGGAGCTTGCATCCTTCTGACCAGTCTGGGCTCCTGGCAGGTCCCTGCGTCTCTCACCCAAAGTCCCAGCTCTGAGTTAAGCACACTCGCCTGACTGCCTACTATGCCTACTACCTGCTTGGGCCCTGGGTGACCCAAAACAGCTGTCCTTGCCCCTAGGATCTGGCACCAGGTAGATGACACCCACTCAGAGGGAGGTCTGAATCACCTCATCAGACCCTAGGCCAGGGCAGGCTGGGGGGCTGTTGACCCTGGAGCACTGAGCTGGGTGACAGCTGGCCTTGGCTTTGTCACTGGCCTTGGTGGTCACAGTGTTCACCTGCAGAAGTGTCTGGACTTGAGGGATGGCCAGAGAGACCCTGAGTTCATGATTCATCTTGGGTGACAAACATCAATACCACAGCAGCTGTGTAACACGGCACTCCTCCTGACCCTGGGGCCCTGTCCATCTGGTTTCAATGACTTCTCAGTAAAATAACAAACACCCTTCCTGGGACTTCATAAATGTGCAGGCATGTAGGGCACCCAATACAAGCAGGTTTCTTTTCTGTTATTGCTGGGAAGAGTTCTGATTTTCATTTCTTTTCTCTCTTGATAAAGACACTGACTTCCCTCTAATTCCTTCTGCAGCCACACCCTCCTCAGGTTCCCCCACCTGTTCAACACCCCTAACTCCAAACCCACCCAGAAGCCGGGCTATAAAGAGATGGGGACGGGGGGAGGATACACAGCTCAGCCCCCTTTCACCAGTGGAGGCCCCCTTCACTGCTCTGCACTCCCTGAGCCTCGGCAGCTGCAGCTAGGTGCTTATTAAAAGAACTTCTAGCCGGGCTCGGTGGCTCAGCCTGTAATCCCGCGCCTTTGGGAGGCTGAGGTGAGTGGATTGCCTGAGCCTGTGGGTTCGAGACCCGCCTGGGCAGCGAGACCTCATCTCTCCAATAAATCAAAAAATCAGCCAGGCGTGGTAGTGCATGCCTGTAATTCTGGTTACTCGGAAGGCTGAGGCGGAAGGATCGCCGGAGCCCAGCAGGCGAGGCTGAGGTGGCCGGGAGCGGCCACTGCACTCCAGTCTGGGTGACTGAGTGAGACTCCAACTCAAAAAAAAAATCCTCCAAACCATGCCCTGTGGAGCCCTGGAACGAGAACATAGCCTACTTCCCAGCTCCGAATGCCAGGGCCCAACTCTCCACAAACCCTCCAGACAACACAGCTGGTCACCCACATCTGCTGACCTCTGGGAGGAGGGGGTCCAAAGCACCGATGCCACAAGGTTCACTCCTCCAGCCGATCTTTTTAAGTGAGATACTTGTACTTATTAGTAGCAGGCCACTGGCTTAAAAATAAAGGTGTCGTGAAGCTGACACCTTGCAAAAGGACCAGAGTTTTGATCAGATAGTCTAAGACTACAGTGTGGGGAGGAAACATCTTACTGCCAAAAGAGCCTGGCCACAAGAGTAGCCATGGTCCCCACGTGGCCCAGCAAGGCAGGGGATTCCTCGCGCTCATACCCAAGGGCTGTGAGGTCAGTCCTTGGGGTTGACAGTCCCAAGGAGGCAAAGAAACAGAACACTCAAAGCAGCTGGACACACTGTCCTGAGTGTCACTGCTGTTGACCATCACTGGCCACATTGACTTGATTAAGGTAATTTCAGCATATCTGCTGCAAAGCAGACCCCACATATGCACAAGTGGGTTCCAGGGAAAGTGGAAAACTTTTCAAGGTGCGATCTCAAAACCAAGCCGTGCTTGGTGTCTCACAGCCCCTGCAGGTCTCCAAGGCCCTTTCCTGTCTGACATTTTATTTATCAGGACTGTGACAATGCAGGACAGGTACTGATATCCCCATTTTACAAATGGGGAGATGACTCAGCAAGATGGATGGAATCCTGGAGCCACCCAGCATTAGGGGGACCAGGGACAAAGTGGCAGGAGGGTGGGACTGCCAATTTGAGACCCCAGGGGGTTCAGGCCCTCCTGTCGGTGGCTGCAATGGGTTCAGCTCTTAGAGTGGCTGCTGCTCCCTAGACCCCAGTTACCTGGAGCCCCAGTGTGGCTGGCCAAAATAGGTGGGGCTTCCATTTATTCATACTGTCTCAAGTCTGGGCCCACCAAGACTCAGATAGGCTCCTGTCCCTTGGTCCATGCGGCCACCAGATCTGGAAATGGCTATCCAATGGCTCCATTCAGGACTCAGGGGAGGGGTGGTAGTCTCCAGTGAGAGCCCTGTTGCTGGGCCTGGAGGAATGGGGCCACCCTCCAGTGGGAAGCGATGCAGAGTCATGAGCAGATCTGTCTCCTGTCCCCAGCACCCTGTGTGGGGCCTGATCCATGGCCAATAATGAACAATGAACATCATCATCAGCGTGTTAACATGGTTGCCAGGGAAAACAGCGGCAGCTGGAAGTCTGGGGCCAGCACGAGTTGTCTGAGAAGCTAGATCCCTGCCTGTGTTCTCTCTGTCTGCTTCCAGTCCATCCCCCTTCCTGGTCCTGAGCAGCTCAAGGGCAAGACCAGGGCCCACGCTGGGCTGCCAGGGTGAAGGACAGGCCCTGGTGGCACCGGTGCCTTGGGCGGACGTGACATACCTGGTTCCCCTGCTGAGTTGGGGAGGATAAGCCCTGCCCTAACTGGGCACCCCATGCATGCCCTGCCTAATGCCGCAGAGCTGCGGCCAGGGGCTCACCTCGTACAGCAAACAACCCAGGGACCAGATGTCGGACTTGAAGTTGTAGCCATTCTCATGAATCCTCTCCGGCGACATGTAGTATGGTGTCCCGACTGAAACACAGCAAAGGTGGGTGCTTACACTCCATGCAGGGACAGCGGGAGGAGTCCAGGGCCGTGCGGGATGGGAGGGCACATGGGAACTGGGGAGAGACCGGGCTCCAGTCTCTGAGCAGCCCCCTCTTCCTCTCTGGGCCTGTCCCCTCTATCAGATGAGATGTTGGGGACAAATTGGAGGACCCCACACTAGTTAGGCATTAGAGGACTGGGGACTTTAAGTAGATTCCCTGGACCCACCGAGACCTAAGAATCAGGCTGGGGCTGGGTAGCTGGGCTTGGTATTTCTGCCAATTTCCAATGGAATGGGATGCTGTGGCCAGATGTCCTTTAAGGTGACTGAATCCCACAAGAGTCAGGATCAGGCTCTCAACAGTGAAAGGAAAACCACCATGTTGAGGATGAGCAAGCATTTCACGTGTTACCTCATCCCTGGTCCCAACAGTCCCAGGAGGAGGCATCCCAGTTTTCAGATGGAGAAAATGAGGCTCAGACAGGTGAAGAGACTTGCATAAAAGTGGTGGGAATGGGTTCAAACCCAGACTCTCAGGCTCCAGAAACTGAACACACAGCACTGATCAGCACGTCCACACTGGGGGTGGCTTCTTAAACAGGATAGAAAAAGCACCCGCCACAAAAGAAAAGATCTGTAAGTCTTTCATGTCAGTTGATCAAAATACACCATGCAGAGAGCTAAAAGGGCAAATATAGTACTGGGAGAAAATCATCTCATACCATTTACCACACAGTAGGCTCATATGTGGGATACAGTTTAAAGTTTCTAAAATCACTAAGTAGAAGACAAACAACCCCCTTCCTTCTTTAAATGAGCACAAGACCCTGCACTTCACAAAAGAGAACATTCAAACGGCCAATGCACATGCAATGGCACTGTTTTTCTTATGACTCATCAGGGAAGTGCAAATTAAGTCACGATGAGGCACAACTACACACCTATCTGAGTGGCTAAAGACAAAAGGCCAAAGTTCAAAGCCAAAGGTAAGGATGGGGGTCAGCTGCCAGGAAGAAGGCCAGAGGGCTTCAGGGCCTGCCCTCAGGGTCCCTATTCTTCCCCCAGGAAAGGCCAGCAAAAGGAAACTGAGGGGGTATGCCCTATTCTCCCAGTCCCTGCAGGACACACTTTTGAAGAGCTGGAGCTGCAAAGATGGGAGGATATTCTGGGAAGGAGTGAGCTCCCCATCACTAGAGGCATGAAAACGGCAGCAGAAGGGGTGTTCCAATAGGTGTGGAGTGAGGTCCAGGAATCTAGATTTGTAACCTGAGTTTCTGGTATCAACCCATTTGGAGACTGACGGTTTGGAGGCTTTAGGAGTGGATTTGTAAGGTCGCTATAGCAGAACATTCTCAGTGGCCTGGAGACACCGTATCATGAGAAAGAGGCTGCTGGTGATCTAACCACCATCTATGAGGGATGCTGAAGTCCAATGTGGCAGATGCTGGGCTGAGACAGATACGATGAAAGAAGGGTCCTGGTCCCCAGAACAGACCACTCAGTGAGCTAGACTTTGAAAGCAGCAGGCCCAGGCTGCAGAGTTTTGTGAGCAAAAGAGGTTTCGGGGCAAACACAGGATGGGTAACTTTTCATTTTGCCAAGGATGGACATCTAAAAAACACAAAAGCCCCAACTATCTCCTAGTGTCAGTATTATTTGGGGCGGGGGAAGCCAGCTTAACACTATTTGGAAAACTCATACTTTCAAAGTCAAGGACAGTTCTTTGCAAATGAAAAGTTGAACTTTTTGAATTTGATGGCATTCTTGTTTTTCTTATTGTACCGAGATGGATGAAACACTCCATCCTGCTCATGCAGAGAGGCTGTGGACAGTGCTGGAAGCCTCTGCTCTGGGCTGCGAGTTCCCAGGGCTGGCCCTTGTCTGCCAGGTGTCCCAGCACCCTGTGCAGGACAGCCTGTGGTGGGTGCCCTGTGAGTATCCACCACTGAGTCACACAGTCCATCTGCATGCTGTCCATCAGACAGGGCGTGTCAGTGCTAACAGCTCTTTCTTGCAGCCCACTGCACTGCTTATTGAACTGATGGTGGCCTGAGAGGACCATCTGTATGAGCTCAAGCGTCCCAAACATGATTACTACCTTATCAGGAGACCAAGCTCCCTTTCATGGCAAGAATCCTGACACAAGGACAGCAGACATCACTTAAAGACAGGATTTTGAGAAACGTGTCATCCTTTATGGCTGACATCACGGGGCTAATTGCTCTTCAGCAGGAAGTGTGTCAGTCAACACAGGAATCTGCGTGGGATTCTCTGGGAAAGCAAATTGTGGCTTCCAGTAGCAACACCTTGTACGTGCCGGTCGTGAGGGAGCAAAGCTAAATGCACAGCCAAGTGGGAAACATACAACTTGCCACAGTCAAGCCACATGTTGGACTGAACAGTTCTCGGCTAACCATGGGAACCTAAGGACAACTGGAAGTGGATTCTAGCACCCAGGGTGCATGACAACGTAGGGATGATGGGGTACACGTGGAGGCAATGGGGAACAGATGGCAGTCAGGGGCCTGTCCTTAGTGAGGGACAGCAGCGTCCACTGTTGCTGACCCTGACAGCTCTTCCCACCCATTTTGGCTCTGCCAGGGTCTCTAAGGGGGGTCTCTGCAGGGAGAGGTGACCCGCAGAGTGGCCAGGGCCAGGGCTAGGGCTATGGCCTGGGCCATTTTGGGCAGGCTTGTCTGAAAGCAAGGGCTCTGAGGCCTGGCCCCATCCTGGATCCTCCACGTCAGCCCCAGCCCCAGCCTGCTCTTCAGTTGCCCCTGCACCTTGACACATGCTGCTCCCTTTGCCACCGGGCATGCTCCTCTAAGATCCGCCTTAAACCACCCCTGCCCTGCCAGGGGGAGCCAGATGCTCAGCTGGCTGACCATGTGGTTTGTCTCTCTCTGTTCAGTCACCACTTTCTCCCTCTGCCGACAGATCCCTGCCTTGGCCTGGCTTGTGGCGAAAGCCTGGGGCACACAGGCAGAGAGAGGCTCAGGGGTGCTGACCCTCCTTCCCCTCCACTCGCCACTCCCCCCTGCTCCTTCTGCTCACCGCAGTTTCCACTGGTATAAAGACAAAAGGCAGACGCCCCAATGCAGTTTGGCGCTTTCTTCTAAGATGCCATCCACGCATCCTTCATCCTTCTGTCTGTCCCTCCATCTATTGTCTACCCACCCACCTATCCAGTCGTCCATCACCCATTCACTCATTCATTTGTCCATCAGTCTGTCTGTCCAGCATGTCTGTCCAGCCAGCCATCCCCCCAACCATCCATCACCTACCCATCCACTGCGCATCCATCTATCCACCCACCCATCACTCCTCCATCCAACCATCCACCCCTCATCCACTCATCCCTCATCCACCCATCTACGCACCCACCTACCCATTACCCATCCATCCATCCAACTCCCACTCACCCATCACCCATCTATCCACCTGTCACCCATCCATCCAATCATCCATCCATCCACCCACTATCTATCCATCCATCCACTTACCCATCCACTCACCCCTCATCCATCCACCCATCCAATCCTTCATCCACCTGCCATCCAACCATCCATCCACCCACCCACCCACCCATCCATGCATCAACACATCACCCTTCCATTCATCCATCTACCCACCCATCACCCATGTAATTATCTATCTATCCATTCACCCACCCATTCATACCCATCCATCCAACAATCCTCCCAACAATCCATCCATCCATCTACCCACCCACCCATCTACACCAAAGGTTAGGGCCCATCAGGAACTGTCTGTCCCAGGAAGTGTCCAGAAGAAGCCAGCTGACCACATCTATCACAGAAAGTCCGGACTAATCAGTGGTGACAGCACTGTAATCCCAGCACTTTGGGAGGCCGAGGCGAGGGGATTGCCTGAGCCTGTGGGTTTGAGACCCGCCCAGGCACCTTGGCGAGACCTTGTCTCTACAATAAATCAAAAATTAGCTGGGTGTGATAGCACGCGCCTGTAATTCCTGCTACTTGGAAGGCTGAGGCGGAAGGATTGCTGGAGCCCAGCGGGTCGAGGCTGCGGTGGCCAGAAGCATGCCACTGCCCTCCAGTCTGGGCAACAGAGTGGGACCCCGATTCAAAAAAGAAAAAAGAAATCTGAATCCCCAGCCCAACTGCGGGCCTGTGGGGTCATTATCTTCAGGGGTGGAACTTGGATACCTGCATCTCTCACAGGCCCCTGGGAGTTTCTGATATATGTAAAGTCTGAGAGGAGCTGCCACAAAGTCTCACTCATCTACCTGTTCATTCTTTCAGATGCTCAGTAAATATCTGTGGAACTAAAAAGTAAATAAAGTGACTTTATGCAGCATTAACTGAGTGAGGTTTGGCCTATCCCATGCCGGGCACAGAGTCCTCACGTCCCCACCTCCTGGCAGATGCTCCAGTCCCCTGACCCAGGAGAGAGGGTTTCCCCTTGGTCTGTGCATCCCAAAGTTGGGGTGCTCTGCCTTACCAGGTGTCCTCAACTTGTGCCAGGAGTGCATGGAGCTACAGGGGGTGAACACAGCACCCCTTCCTGTAATGCCAGTTTTATCTGGGAATAAGTCACGTAAAACCTGATTTTTATGCCGACAACAAATACTCAAATATTACAGAGTACAATGCACAACTTGCAAGAGTTTTAAAGATAAAACGAAAGGCTTCAAAGAAACCTCAGCTTGCAGCGGGCCACTGGAGGATGTGTCCCTCGACCCCAGGAGAGTGAGGATTCTGGGAAGAGTGGGAGAAGCTGGCAGGAGGTGCTGCCTCCACGGACGGGGCCCTGCCTGGGGGGAGCCCCGTGGGCAGCATGGCTGGCCTATCCCAGCCCATCGCCCGCCATGTTTCAAGCCGAGGCAGAGCTGTGCACAGCCTGGGTCTCAACCCGCTCCCAGCAACTCCCACTGCCCCTCCTCGCAGTGGGGGATGGAGCTGTGCGTATGCAAGAGGAGCCTCACAAACCCTGACCTTCTGTACCGAGAACTCCCCGATTTCAAACCCAGCAGGTATCAGAGGAGAGCGCGGGACCTCAAAGGCGGAGGCTGATTAAAGGGGCCCTGTTTCCGAGATGCGCCACTCCTGTCAAACAAACTTTGCCATGCTTTGAAATGCTTGTGGTGTTTGAAACACGTTCCTTAGATACAGAAAAGGCAGACTTCATGAGAAGGAGAGGCTGGTGTCTGCACACTGCCCCTCTTCCCCAAATGGTGGAACGGAAAACAGCTGGAGAAACGTGGTCTCATTGCCGACATCCATCCACTGGGTGGGACAAGGGGCTGTACTTCAGTGTCAGATCCTTGACTGGGGAGGCAGGGGCAGGTGGAGACCTCGGTGCCTTGGCGCTGGGCCTGGCTGGCTCGACCTGCTGGCTCACTGTCTGAGAACAGAAACTTTCTCTCAGCTTCAGTCTCCCACTCAGCCTCGGGTTCCCTCTCTGGAAAATGGGAGGTGATTGTTAGAACAGTGTTGAGTTACAGTGAACACGAAATGGATTCTCTTCCTGGGCTGTGGGCTCATAGCGCAGGGGCCGAGCCGAGGGTCTGGCACAGATGCTTGCTGAATGAATGAATGAGTGAACAAGTCAATGAGCTGTCGTCTGTAAACGAGGTCCGAGTTAATTCTTTACATGCTGCCCTCTTAAGACCCCGCCTCAACTCTGATGTCAGCTCTTCTCTTTCTAACACGTGCCCCTGAAAATGCCAGGAACGTGGCAGCCCATGACCTGCCTCCCTGAGGTCAGTGCTCAGAACCCTGGCTGACCCTCAGGCCTGAGCTATCTGTTAAAGCAGGACTGCTGGGCCCAAGGGACTGCAGGGTTGATCCCAGACATCCTGCGCCGTCGGGATGGCCCGTGGGGTGCGGCCCACACAGGAAGAGGCTGGAGACATATCTGTGCAGTCCTCCGGTCCTCCGTGCCTGTGCCAACAGGCGTCCCCAGGGATGCCTGGCACGGGGGATGTCCATATACTCAGCAAACATCCCACAAGGCCCCCTGGTGCCAGGTCCAGTCACAGGCATGTCATGGCACAGCGTAGTCCCCAGCTAGGCAGCACTGCCACAGGGAGAGGAGGCTCCCTCCTTCCCCGCGGGCCCTGACAAGCCCCCAGATCCCTCATGGACATTCACTGCTGATGATGCTGAATGGGCGCGTCCTCATACGATCAGGCACTCAGAGCCCTATAAGGTGCCCACACCTGAGGGCTCCGGGGGAATCCTCTGGACCCCTTCCCTGGGTACCTGCAACCCAACCCTTCTCTAGGCCATGCTGTGGCTGGTGCCCCGAGAAAAGCACCTGGACCTGAGGTGACTCCCTGCAGGGTTCCAGTACCCGCCTGCTGGGTGGCCACAGGGATGTGGTCTCACCTCTCTGAGCCTCAGTTTCCTCCCTGTAAGACAGAGATAATAAGTCTTGTGGTGGTGATTTACATAAAATCAACATGTTTTTCAAATGTTTTGCTAAGCCTCGTTTTTGTCCTTTTCTGCAAGTGTGGTGGCCACAGAAAACCAAAGTCAGGGCAGCTCTGGAAGGGGCTGAGCTGGTCATGGGCTCCAGGTCACCCTGGCTCCTTGTGGTGTTATTTAAATCATAGAGCATGACACCTGCCTGTGCATGGTGGGCCCTCAGGAAACAGTCCCACCCGTCCCCTTGCCTTGCCACCAGAGCCTATGTCTGTCCCCTCAAAAACAGGGAAGACTGCATAATGGCACGTCCCCTGCACCCAGCCCAGGGCCAGACAGCCCACTCAAAGAAGAAGGAACATAGGCCCTGTTGCCAGGCCAAGCGCAGGAGGCTCAACGTGCCTGGACCGGTGAGTACCAACAGGGTCGCCCCAGCCCGGCCTGGGCGTAAGTTGGCCTCCCTCCCCCGCCAGCCCGTGGCCGCCCTGTCACTGCCGCCGCGAGCCAGGCCTGTGCGCCTACTCTCCCAGCCCCACAATTTGTCTTGCAGCTGCTGCCGTTGCTTGGAGCGAGACACTTGCTTGTAGCTTGTGAGCTGTGTATAGGCAAATCTTTCATTTTTCTTTCATTACGCCGGCGTGTACTGTCACTTAATTTTTATGTATGCAATCCTTTCTGACAAATATGATCTGCTGCCTGGTAATTCGTCTGACGCTCATTCTGTTCTGCGCTCTAATTACGGCTCCTATTCCTGACACCGAGGCAGCCGCTCTGCCACCGCTGGGTACCGCACCTGTCAGCCCGACCATGCCACTGACTAATGCCCTTTCATGCCAGCCTCGTGTTAGCAAATACAGAGGCGGGGAGGGGGCTGAGGGCGGGGGAGGCGGGAAGAGAGCAGATTTGCATAAGCCCAGTTCTCGGGTCAGCAGCCTTAGGAGAAAGGTGGTTGCCGGGGCAACACAGCTGCCACCCCAGCGTTCCCACGTAGTAGGTGCGCACTGGACGTGGCAGATGCATAATTCATACCCACGCACAGGGTGTGAAGGGGCCCCTGCCCCCGTGTCCTTTCTGAGTCACGATGCCGTGGTAATTAGTTCAGTCTCTGGCCCGACCAATGCGTGTGCGAGACTTAGCTGTTTGCAGAGCCTCCTCCAGGTCCTGGGCTTTGACCCTGCACTGATTGTCCCTGTCCTGTTGCCTGGGTGGGTGGCGGCTCTTGGTACCGGGAGCCTGTCCTGTGAACAGGGCCTTGCGGAGCTCCTGCACAGGCCTCAGCTCAGTGGGCACCTCCTGGATACCGGGAACACGGCCCTGAGCAGAGACAGGCCCAGGAGGGCACCTTCCACCCATCACGCGGTCCGACCGCAGCTTGGAAGCCTCGGGAAGAGCCTGGCTTGCGAGGGTGGCCTGCTCCCAAGTTCCAATTTCTTCTCATTAATATAATAAGTGCACCAGTCCAAGTCGATAAGATCACACTGTCGGATGAGACCGCATCTCTGCCCGTTCCCGAAGCTGCGATCCTAACCGACTCTGACGGGGCGCCGCAGTCTTCTGCAGCGGGACAGAGGAGGCTCGGAGCTGACTGACAGGGGGCAGGAGACAGTGGGTTAACTCTTCTTTTTGATGGCTGCCCTTGAATTTTCCAGCCTTTTTGAAGCTCTGAAGCCAGATAGGTAAACAGTCCTAACGCAACCGGAATGCTTTGTCTTTCCCAGGGAAGTAAATGTCTGAGGGGACAGAAAAAGCAAGGTTTCCTTCTGGCAATGGAGAGTCAGCAGTGTGGTCCCCAGAGGGAGGCCCTCACACGACCCTCCAAGGCCCAGTCCCGGTCTTCTGGAAGCAGCAAGGGCTCTGTGCAGCAAGGCCTGCGTTCAGGTCCCGGCTCTGCTGCCACGTGACCTTGGGAAAGTCTCTCATGCTCCCCGGATTTCAGATTCCTCCTCTGCAAAAAGGAAGGATCCTCTGGCCCCTCAAGGGGGTGTAAATGGACCATCCTACGCTGTCCCCGCTGGGTTCTGGTCCATTCTTTCCTTTGCAGCCAAGGGAAAAGCTCCTGGGGCCTGGCCAGGTGTTTCTAGGGGGGATGGGGACAGGAGTTTCAAAACACACACAGCCCCTTTCCCATCCCCTCTGCCCCACCCATGAGCAGCTCGAAGCTGGGATCTGGAGCCCTGGGGCATTTCCCCTAATCACATGCCATTTGCAGGTCTCCACAGGAAAGTGAGTCTTTCAAAAAGCACCTCCACCCTCCCCAGACTTGCCTGTGCACACAAAGCTTGCCACGGGCACTCGGGGGTCTGGGGCCAGGGACATCCAGCTTGAATCGTGGAGGGGCAGGAGGGACGCCACGAGACACACAAGGCCTTATGTTCGGGTTCCACTGGGGCTTTGTTGGCTTCTATATGCTCACTCATTGAACAGTCTCACTCAATGAACAGTTTCCCACCACCTGCCATTTCAGGTTCACATTCAGCTCCACATCCGGCATGTGAACTCAGACATCACCATAGCTTCAAGTGCCCTGAGACACACGCCTCACCCTGAGCTTGGCATTCTAGGCCCTACCCACCTTTCCCGCTGCTCCTGCAGACCTCCCAAAATCCCTGCTTTCTGGTCAAACCCAGCCACCCGCTCAGCCTCACTCCGAGGTTCACCCATTCCCTCTCCTGGGATGCCGTTCCCTCTCTCCTTGCCCCAACAGCACCTATGTCCTTCACGGTCCAGCTACATGTCACTGTCCCTGTCGCCTGGGTGGGTGGAGGCTCTTGGTACCAGGAGCCTGTCCTGTAAGCAGGGCCTTGCAGAGCTCCTGTGCAGCCCTTAGCTCAGTGGGCACCTCCTGGATACCGGGCACACAGCCCTGAGCAGGGACAGGCCCAGAAAGGTGCCTTCCACCCATCATGCGGTCCGACTGTGAGCACCTGGCCCCCACAGCTTCAATACTGCCTGTTTAAAAGCCAAAAATGAACCAGCTCCAATGTCTACTCCCAGGAGGAATGGACCCCATGGGGTGCCGAGTGTGGGACATGACTGCCACGTGCGATAGATAGCCCTTCCACTCCACACGACGGGCTCAGCCTCCCTGGAAGGGTCAGGGTGACAGCTGGGCTCCTTGCTATTCTGAAGAGATGCGTAAACTCTGGGGCTCGAAAAAGGCATTTTCCCATACTCACTGACCAAAGGTACGTGGGGAGAACGTTTGCATCTCACCACATGGGCACCAAGACCACTGGGGGCTGCCAGGGTGCAGACAAGGCCCCCCTTACCTAGAGAGTGGGCTGCGGTGGTCTCAGAGCTGAAGAAGCGGCCCAGACCAAGGTCACCGAGCTTCACGACACCCGTGGCCGTGATGAACACGTTGGCAGGCTTGATGTCTGTGAGCAAGGAGAAGGGGGTGAGTTTGGGGACAGGAGGCCTGGAGTGGGTGGGGGGCAGGAGGAAGGGGGAGTCCAGTTGATGGGCGGCCCAGCCCCATCCTGCTCCTTCAGGCCATGGCTCTGGTTGTGGGGCCTTGGGATATTTACTGTCTCTCTGAGTCTCAGTTTTTTCACCTGTAAAATGGGTCTAACAGAGCTGCTATGAGATCTAGGGGAGCCGGGATTTTTGTGCTGCTATTTTCTTTTCTACGGCTTTACCTCCAGGGCCTAGAACAGTGCCTAGCACATAGCAGGCTCTCAGTGAAAATCTGTGTGACTAACGACCCACACCCTCAGCAAACTCCCGTGCTATACTCCCATGGCTGGTGCGGACACTCATAAGCATAGGAAAGGGGAGGAACAGAAGAGTCATGAGGCAGCCCATCTCCAGGACACCTGACACCTGGCAGGTCCTTCCTCACAACTCGGATGACGTCAGCTTCTGAAAACCCTCCTGCAGGTGTCTCCGCTCCTGTGTCCCGCCAATACCGGTCAAGATGTCAGAGCCCCTAGGAAGGGTCCCTGCTGTGGGACGTTCCCAACGTCCTGGGCTAGTGCTGGGGGCTGGAGATGGTGTGCCAAGAGTGGCCCCCGCCCCTGGGGCTCATAGCACTCTGCACCACGGACAGGCCCCTGATGTGGGGCATGCAGAGTGGTCCAACCCCCCAGGGGCTGCCCCTGAGAAGCCACCAGGAAGCGGACTCTGGAGGGAGCACATACCTCGGTGCATGACCCGGCGCGAGTGCATGTGCTCCACGGCGCTGCAGAGCTGCACGAAGTACTTCCACACCGTTCTCTCGGGGATGAGCCGCTTCTGCTTCTTGAAGTACTGCATGCGGGGACAGACAGATGGACGGGACCCAGTAAGTGGGCTTCCACGGGGATGGCCATGGGCGCTGCCCCATCCTTTCCTGGTAGACACTGGTGCCTGGCACAGGCAAGTGCTCAGGCTGCTGAACAGGCAACCAAGAACCAGGAGTGCTGCATTCATGCTGCTGCTGTGACCCAGATCATGCATGGTGGCCGCCCTGTCCCTGCCCTGTGAGCTCTGTGAGGGCAGGGAAGGTCTGGTGTCTCCTCATGGGTTGGACTGAATATGGTGATGACAGCCCTTGGTCACATTTTTCTGGAACTTCCTGGACACAGTCCCCACAGGGAGCTCCTGGTGGGAATAGCCTGGGTATGGACACTCCTTGCCCCCTGCCCCGGCCTAATCACAACCGCCCCCACTTCCCCAGAAGTCAGCCAATCCCAGAGCACTGCGACCATCAACAAACATGATGAGAACCTCAAGGAAATGGACCCCAGTTTCAACAGGCCTCAGTCTACTTCACTGCCAGAAAAACATAGTTAATGCTCCAGAATGAAAACAAAACAAAAAAAGGCTCAGGCTGTACTGTGTGGGCCATAGGGACAAAAGTCCTGGGAGGGTAGGCTAGGAGCACGCCTGCAGCCGCGGCCCAGATCAAGATGGCACGACTCGGACACCAGTGGCCTAAGCCCCAGGCATCTGCGTAGGAAGGAGCCTTTTCCCGAAACAGCCATGAGTGCCGCTGGGCCAGTCTGTCAGGGTGGCAGCTCTGGTGCAGGCCCTGCCTGGGAAGGGGACATGGGTGGAGGAGAGGGCCTGCGCTGACACGCGCTGTTGCAGCCACGGTGTCAGGTCACAAGAAGGAGGGCAGAGCCCATCTTACAGATGAGGAAACTGAGGGCCATGCAGTGAGGGACAGAGTCCCAGCTCAACCCCAGGCCTCCTACCTAGGACGCCCAAGCTCTTCACCATGTCTAATGGCATCAGTAACACTGGGGTGAAAGACGGAGCTCAGAGAGGTTCAGAAACGTCCAAGGTCACCCAGCTGAGATCCGGGTCTGGGCACCTCCCACAGGGGGCCAGTTGTGGCTGGGAGCCCTGGCCTCACAGCAAATCCCCTCAAGGCCTCCTGAGGTGCCAAGAAGGGGCTCAGGTGAGCCGCCCCAGTCTCAGCACAGACCCCACCGCCGGGTCACCCCCAGGCCTCTGCGGTGGACCAGGCTGGGATGTTATTTACACCGTGATGCTAGTTATTCCTCATTACAGCATTTAAGTGGGGATGTGCGGCCGAGGGTGGTGATTTTCTAAATGTCACGTCCTATAAGTGCCGTCTGACATTTAGCAGGAAGGCACAGAGTCTCTGGTGGGTTCCGGGAGCAGCAGCTCGCGGCTTCATGTTCCTCGTAAATAACGCAGCCACCGTGGCTGTGGTGGTGCTGCTCGGCCCTTGAGCTGTGGGCCCTCGGGACACAGGCACTGTTGTCAGCAGCCTCTGAGGCCAATGGAGTGACCATGGCATGTGGGTGGGACCATGGACAGTGCATATCCCAGGCTGGGGTCCTGGCAAGACCCTGTCCCTTGGAAACACAGAGGCAGCCTGAGAGCGGGACAGGCAAAGGAAACCGAGCTCCCACCAGGACCAGGCACTGTGCTGCATATGTCCCAGAAGAGGAAACTGAGGCACAGGGACCTGCCCAGGGTCATCCAGTGGGCGTGTCTGGCCTAGGGCAGGTCTCTCCACTGCCTTGCCTCTCCTGCTGGGGGCTGCACTGTGCCAGGCTCTGTAGGTGAAGACTCCTGAGCCAGGTCAGAGGGAACAGGGGAAGGGCAGGGTCTGGGAAGGCGTGAGGGGTCAGGGGCTGCCAGAAGGGAGCCAGGGGAAGCTAGGAGTTGCTCAGAAACCCAGTCTACCTACATCCCAGACTCCATCCTGCTGGGTTCGTGACAGATTTGAACCTTGAGCCAGTGTTGGCCCTGGGAAAGTCAAGGAAAAGGTACAGGTGAAGGGACAGCTGGGACACCCATATGTTCCCCCACCTCAGCTGAATGAGCCTGTGCCCGGGCCTGCAATTCCCACAGTGCCCTTTCCCACATGTTCCCTAGGACAGGGCTGGGAACTGAGGCCAGGAAAGGAGGGACACGTGCCCAGCCACACTCCCACCTATCTGTCTGGCTCCAGCTCCACTCCATGGACTGAGGGGCCACAAGGGTATCTGGGCACACTGGAGGGAGAGGGATCCTGGGTGAGCTGCATTTTAGCCTCTCCTCCACCTCCTGCTCCTCATCTACCCCCGCCTCCGTCTGCCCTCGCCTCTCCCTTGGCTCAGCATCCAGTCTTTCTTCTAGAACACAGAGCTGACCTAGTTTGCTACCTGCCACGAGTCTTAAGAAACTTCTCTGACTTCTGGGCATGGCCCCGAATCCGGAGCCTGAATGTGAGGCCCTGCATGATCCAATGGTCCACCCCTCGGCTTCCCTTCCCCTCCTCTCACAGAATGCTCTCTCTGGACCACGGTGCTTCTCATCTGGGCTCTTGCACAGGCTGCTCCTGCTTCTAGACTGTCTCCCCTCAGGTCTTGGTTCCAGTGTCAACTCCTCCAGAAAGCCTGCCCTGACTCTCATAGGCCCTGAATTGGCTTGTTGTCGCTGGCTCGTAACTGTTCACTCACAGGTCTGCCTTCCTGTTAAAATCTGGGCTCCCAGAGGGTGGTGCCCATGTCAGTGGTACCCCAAGATCTCAGCATGAGGGCTCGCATACAGTGGGCATACAATGCATGCACATTCAGCGAGAGAACAAGGAATGCGAAGGAGAAACAAGTGCAGTGGGGGTGGGGGAGAAAGAACCAAGACATGATGTAGCACATCTGTTCCCGCCAGGGATCTGGTAGAGATGAACATCCCTGCAAATGCATTAATATGTCAACGAAAATATAAAAGCAGGTGATAACAGCTCAAGTAATGCCACTTCCCCACGATACTCGTATTCCTAGGAGCCAAATATCAGCAGAACAAGCATTGAGCAATTGCTCCATCCCCAGTGCCTGGTGGGAAAACACAATCCCCGCCTGGCTGTTTCTAAGTGTGGCTGGGGGAGGGGAGGGGTGCTGAGGTAGGGCCCAGTCTCACTCACTAGCAGATGGATGGGTCAGGGAGGGAGACTCAAGGTCAAGCCAGCAGGGAGGCGAGGGCCTTGGGGAAGGAGCGAGGGGCTCAGGCCTAGGCATCAGACCGACCTGGGCTCCTTCACTTAGAGGCTGTGTGGCCTTGGGCAGGAGACTAGACCTCTCTGAGCTTTGCTATCTGAACCCAGATAGCCCAGCGTGGAACTCAGTGAGTGAAGCACTGGGGTGCTTGACCAGGTTGTGGCCGGAGGCAGGATTCCTTATGCCAGACTCACAGTGGCCCTGTGCCCTGGGACATAAGAGGAGGCAGGTGGAGCCGACAGGGGGGCGGGGGAAGGGGTAAGGGGACAAGCAGGAGCTTGCCGTGTGGTTTGTTTAGCCGCTCAGCCTCTTAAAGACCCTAGCGCTGGTCACTATGCGGAAGTGAAGACCCCCCTCTAGGTAGGGAGACCATCTTGGGGACGATGTCCACTGAAGGGTCTCAGGTCAGGAACAGAGCCCTGGGGCACAGGAATAGCTCTGTTCCCTGATGTTGGGTGTCCTCAGGTAAGTCTCTGGGCTCAGCTTTCCCCTCTGTGAAACGAGGTGTTTGGATCCACAGGACACTCTCCTGAGAGCTGGGGTCTGACCTCACAGAGGGTGCTGCTGCTACTCCTTCTGTGAGGCAGGAGAAGTGGCTCATGTGCCTATGGATAGGTCAGGGTGACCAGAGTGGTCACCTCTGTCCAGAGCTGGCCCTCTCCCAGTCACCAGTCTGAGGCCGCCGTCATCTTGCTTCGTGCACACTGGGCTCTCTCTCTCTTTTTTTATTGAGTTGGGGTCTCCCTCTGTCGCCCAGGCTGGAGTGTGGTGGCACGATCACAGCTCACCGCAGCCTCAATCCCTTGGGTTCAGGCAATCCTTCCATCTCAGCTGGGACTACAGACACATGCCACCATACAACTGGCTAATTTTTATTTTATTTTATTTTATTTTTTAAGTTGGAGTCTCACTCTGTCGCCTAGACTGGAGTGCAGTGGCTGCTCCTGGCCACCACAGCCTCGACCTGCTGGGCTCCGGCGATCCTTCCACCTCAGCCTTCCAAGTACCTGGAACTACAGGTATGCGCTACCACGCCTGGCTAATTTTTTATTTACTGTAGAGATGAGGTCTCACCAAGTTGCCCAGGAGGGTCTCAAACCCGCGGGCTCAGGCAATTCACTCACCTCAGCCTCCCAAGGCGCAGGAATTTTTTTTGTAGAGAGGCTGTTCTTGAACAATCCTCCCGCCTCAGCCTCCCAAAGTGCTGGGATTACAGGCATGAGCCATGGTGCCTGGCAGTGGCTCTCCTTTGAGGTGAGCTCCCTGAGGCTGGTGTTAAGAATGAGGCACCCAGCAAGGACCATGGCCTGTGAGCACTGGCGAGGAGGGCAGCTGCCTCTGGCTGAGGGGAGGCCACCGGCCCTAGGTTTGTGTCAGGCCCTCCAGCCCCTCCCGCCAGGCCCCTCACCTTGATCATCTGCGAGAGGTCACCGGCATCGGCCAGCTCCAGCACAATGTTCAGCTCGTTGTCTTCAATAAAGGAGTCCAAGTACTTGATGATGTTCGGATGGTTCAGTTGCTGGGAGAAGAGGGAAGGTGAGACAGAGGGACACCGGCGAATGATGGTATGGCCTCAGCGTCTGCCCATGCTTGCACCCCACCTGTGCCTGGTCATGGCAGCCCTGGCGTTTGCTGGAGAGGTGGGTGCCCAGAGAAGGGCCTGCACTTGGGAGTCAAGCAGGCCCAGGTGATGCTGGTCAAGCTATTTTACCTCCCTGAGTCTCGGGTGCCTCTTTAAGATGGGCACAATGTCTTGAAGTGGAGTTGTGGAGATGAACTGGGCTGATACCCTTAAAAGGTTAGCACAGCACCTGCAGAGAGCTGCGTAAGCCTCGACATGGTGGAAATGATCCTCCTCCTCCCCCTCACCACCCTTGAGGGCAGGATCAGCCCCCTCTGCTCTGTCCCGGTCACAGCATGTGGCAGGCCTGCAGGTGGTGCTCACAGGCATCCACCTCCTCCCTTCTTCCTTCCCACTCTTTGTCAATTTCTGACCATCCCTTGTGAAATCTTGAAACTCAACACCTGTGGTGTGAGAGCCACCCCTGCTGGTTTCCTGGCGCTGAGAGACACCGCTGGCCTGCACACAGCGGCCCGTGTGTTTGCTGAGGAAAGCATGGACCGGACAGGAGCCTGCTGGCTGACAGTCAGGCCCCAGAGGGCAGAGGTACCCCTGGCAGCCATTTATAATGGAACTGACTGTTTACACCAAAGTGGCTCTGGAGATCCGGGGAAGGTTGAGGGGCTCAAATATCCCGCCACGGTGTGGTCACGCGTCTACACATCAGCCCCCAAAGGTCACTTTGGAGCATGTTTTACAAGTGGCCTGGAAGGTATTAGGAGGGTGAGAATCCATGCGGCATGCCCTGAGCCTGTCCTCAGATTCCAGGATGGGGGGAGCTGGGCACATGCCACCATTCAACTATTCCCCAAGCCGGCCCCCAACGGCTGGGCACACCCAACCAGATCCTGGGGGCCAGAGTAGGCCTCAGCCACCAGCCCAGCTCCCCCTCAAGCATCTGTCCCTCAGCAGGTCCCTGGAGACTGACCCCTCTTGGCCCTGGCACCTGCCACCTTTCTGAGTCCTCAGGTTGCCACTCTGGACCAAGGTCTGGCCCTGAGTGGGTGTACCTACTTCTGCCCTCACCCTTGGCTCCATGACCAGGCTTCAGAAGACAGCACTGCTCTTGCTGCACTCCCGCCCAGCCCCTCACCACTTCCCTCACTGCGTCATCTCCCTGGGAAGAAGGCAGCGCTGCCTGTCCAGGCTGTGGTCCCCTCTCCCTCTCCCCATGCCATGGCTTGCACATGGGCATTCTCGTGTGCCTCCCCGCCGCCCTCTTCCCACCCATGCCTGCCCTTTGCTGGTGCTTGGTGTCACCACACCCCACATGCTGGCACTGCAAGTCCACCCAGAGCTGTGGGCAGCCTCTGGGGAGCCGCCTGCATACCCCAACTCCTGGACTGCCTGCTGCGTGTCAGGCCCCAGGCTGAGCCAGTGCATCCTGCGCTGAAGGCCTTTCCTTTGCCTGTAAATTGTTTGGGTGCCTTCGCTGAAAGCTCCCCCACCTGCATTTGTTTCGAGGTCATCCTAAAGTGAACACTGGCCATCATATCAGCCCCAGTACACACCATGCTTCACAGACACCCCCACTTGTCGATCACTTACTTGGAGCCTTCTTCAGTTATAAAAAAGGCTCCAAGTAAGTGATTGACAAGTTGGGGTGCTTTAAAACCTCAAAGGTTCATCATGCAGCGTAGGCACGTTGCTGTTGTTGAGAGACCCCCTGCTCCTTCACCCTCCTCTTGAATCCTCATTACTTCACTGAGAAATCCCAGCCCCTCTCAGGGAGTGCTCCCTGTGGTCAGTCCAAGTCAGCAGCAATCCAGGTATCAGGTTTTCCAATGGTGTGGAGAAATGAGAGGGGACTTGGGTGAAACACAGTTTCTGTCACAGAGGCGCTGGTGCCTGAGAAGCAGAGAAGGGAGGCTCCCCTCCTGTTTCCTGGGTCTGAGGCCATGAGGCTAAGGAAGGCTGAGGCCAGGAGGCTAAGGAAGATTCCTTCACATGGCCTGTCAGGCTACAGAAGCACAGGCGAACCACAGGCACAAAGGGGATCAAACAACAACTGGGCTGTGCCCAAGGCCCAAGGAGAGGAAGGGAGTACGCACGGGTCCACAGCAAGATGGGGCCAAGTTGAGCCCAGAACCTGGTCCACACCGAGTCTATGTCTCAGCCTGCAGCCTCTTGTGAGCCCAGGTGGGTCTGGAAGGGGCCACACTTGGGCAGGGCACCTAAAAAGTACTCTAAAGATGTGATGTGCCTGGGCTTGTCTGGGTGTGGAGGTAGCCACTGAGGGATGCAATGGTGGCCCAGGGAAGGAAGGGAGAGCTGAGAATAAAAGGCCCCTCTTCTTTGTATCTTGGCCATCGAGGTTCTGCTCCCTCAAGCTTGGGGCCCTCCAGACGTAGCACCGAAGAGGCTTTCTGTCTATGACCCATCTCCCCGACGGGGCCGCATCCTCATCTAGCATTCAGTGATCAATAATTGTGCTGAATATATAAACACACACCTGCACATTCCAGCACAACCCGTCTTCTCGTCCTACATGTGCAGGTACCGACCCCGCCAGCCCCTGAACTGGGCAGTTTGGGTCTGGAGTCTTGGTGTGAATGATGTGAATGAAATTGCCTAGCTGCCCCTCTGAGAACTGTGCCTCCTTCTGTAGGAAGCACCTAGTGCCCTGGTCCCTCTTGTTGACTTCCCAGGGCTGCCCAAGGGCAAGACTAGTGTTCTGGTAGGGGGATAGCATTGGCAGGCAGAGGTGATAACCATAACAAGGTGCTCTGCCTTGGGCTGAGCATGTACCGTACCCCAGATGCGGCCCTGAATGCATCCGATGCATTTTCTTACTGACTTCTCCAACACCCTGAATAGCACTCTTGTCAACATGCCCCTTTTACAGATGAGGAAACTGAGGTCCTGAGAGGTCAACAGCTGGTGCACAGTCACACAACTGGTGAGCAAGGGGTGTGTCCCTTTGAAGCTCATGCTCGGAGGTGCTGGCTACACTGCAGTACTGGGAAAGAACAGAATCCCCTCCCCAGGCAGGCCCATTTTATGCCAGGTTCGGGCTGCATCAAGGCAGGGCCCGCAGTGGCACATCTGTGTGACCAGGAATCTGGAACAGGCTCCATATGCGCACTGGTAGAACTCCTTCTTTCAGGGAGAAGGACACATGAGGTGGGGAGAGAGGGCAGGGGGTGCTCCAGGGCTGGGGAAGTGGCCAGAGTCCCGGAGATCTTAGTTGCACCCCAAGCTGACCATTACTTAAATGTTTAAAAAAGATTACTGAAGGGCACTTTTTGACCTATAACAGAGGTAAGGACACCTCCTGCCTCCAGCCTTGACCCTGTCACCCGGCTATATCCCCTGGTCTCAGTACTTCCCTCTTGTTCCTGAGTATGTATCTAACCTGCCAACACCCCCAGCATCACGTGCCCCTGGCTCCCACAGCCCACATGTCAAGTCTTGTTTTGGCATTTCACTTTGCTGGAGACTGCCAAGCAGGCTCTGTTTCTTGGGTCAGTGCCGAGGGAGTGCCTACTGTGTGCCCCACTGTCGCCAAGCCCTTTTCAGGAATTACTTTGCTTCGTTCTCTCAGTCCTCCCATATCCCATGAAGCAGGTATTACTGCCACTGAGCAGACGGGCAAACTGAGACTCAGGGAGGTTAAGTCACTTGCTTAAGGTCACACAGCATGTAAAGGAAGACATCAAGATTTAAACCCAGGCTCCCAGGTCTCCAAAGCCGGAACCTTTTCTCCGCTCCCGCCTCCTCCATCACTGCTGAGATCCCAGGCGGACCTCTAAGTCTAGAAGGGTGGGGAGGGACCCTCAAGAGACAGCAGCCTGCCCAGAGCCAAAGTCTAGTCCAGAAAGACCTGTCATCCCTGATTGTGGGAGCCCGATACAGAAGCCAGCAGAGAGGAGGTCCATCCCTGGGCAGCCAGTCCAGCTCAGGCAGCACCCACAGAGGGGTAGCCTGTAGGCCACCCAGGGAACCACCTGCAGTCGTGTTCCTGCTTTCTCCTTGTGCGAGGCCTGGCAGAGCCCGATGGGATGACGACACGGGGCCCTGCAGCACCCAGCCAAGCTGGGCCCAGGCTCCACTGTCTGTTCTCCCAGTGCCCCAAGCAGGCCATGCTGAGCCCCCACCAGGGGCCTCTCCTGGCGGGAGAAGAGGAGTGGGGGAGAAGAAAGAAAAACCAGACCTGTGGCCGAATAGTCAGATGTATGTGTGCTGTACAATGGAAAGTCAAGGAAAAGAAGGCAGAGAGGAAGGAGGGATGAGGAGGAGAGAGAGAGAGGGAGCCAGAGCCAGAGACGAAGTCAGGCAGGCTGTAGTCTGCATGACACCTGTACTCGACTTCTCCCCGCCAAGCGGTCTGCAGGCTACTGGGTGCCATGGATGGGGGTGCCCACGAGAGAAGGACTTCTGTGGCGGGTACTGCCATTCGCAGCAGGAGTGACACGGGGCAAGGATGACAGCGTGGGTGAAAACCCCAGGGGCTGGGCTGAGAGCTGAGGCAGGGACACTCCTGTCCAACCATGAGAAAACAAGCGAGCCACAGCCCCTCAAAGGCATCGTTCCTTAACTTAGCAAGGGCTGTGGGTCCCTGGCACCCGTGGGCTACAATGGACATGGCGTGGCCCAGCTGGGTCCTGGGCCACCGAGGCGGCAAGGCTTGCTCTCGACCCAGGGTGCTCACCTTAAGGAGGCCGATCTCCTTGACGCAGTCCTGCCTTGCTTTGGCATCCATCATCTCAAAGATCTTGAGTAGGAGGAAAAAGAGAGGAGGAACATTAAGATGAAGCATCTAGTGGCCAGGGGTGGGCAGAGTGGCTCATGCCTGTAACCCCGCACTTTGGGAGGCTGAGGTGGGAGGGTTACTTGAGCCCAGGAGGTTGAGGCTGTAGCTGTGATGGTACCACTGCACTCGAGCCTGGGCTACAGAGTGAGACCCTGACTCAAAAAAAAATTCAGTACCCAGCACCCCTATGGGGAGCCACGAGGGCCTGGGATCAAGTCTTGGCTGTCCACCTCCTGGCCGAGGGATCTCTACTGAGTACCCACCAGGAGCCAAGCGCTGTCAAGGCTTCACCCAAATCCTCAGGCCATTCCCACGAGGTAGGAGTTACTGTTTTTGACTTACAGAGGAGGAGACTGAGGCCCAGAGCAACACAGAGACTTGCTGAGGCCACACGCTGGTAAGCAGCAGGCCAGGACACGTGCCTAGAGCCCAAGTCCTCACCTCTGTCAATGGGGCCAGTAGCCTGACACCACAGCATCACCATGGGGGTTAAGATGTGGGTCCAGCACCCAGCACTGAGCCCCTCACACCCCAGCCCCTTCAGTGCTCGCCCAGGGTGGATCCCCCCAGCACTGAGGCTACAGGTACAGACAAAAGGCTGACACGCAGAGGCCCCACCGCATACCCAGCATGGCTCGAAGGAACCCAGACAAAGAGCCCTCGCTGGAAGATCAAGAGCAGAGGGCCTTTTCCAGGCCAAGGAGCCCACCCTTCCTCCAGTGCGCTGAAGCCACATGTGTGGTTCTCCCCATCCCCGGCTCCCAGCCCCGCTCTCCCCCCACCCCCTCCTCTGCCCAGGCTCTCAGGCTCGTGAGATAAGTGAGCAAAATTGAGGGCTTGGGAAGCTTTGCCAGAGGATTTAGAGCCATTTCCTTCAGCAAAGCGGCATGCAGACAGCCCAGGGCTGTCATGGATGAGTGTCCTGGCCTGATCTTGCCGCCTGACACCCTTTCCCCATTTAGGAAAAACACAGAAGACAGGAAGGACACCTTGAGCCAGAACCATGGAGTGAGCAAAGGCACCAGGTGAGTGGACAGCCTAAGCCTCAGCTCCCCTTTAACTCACCCTGGGCCCGAGAGACAGTAGGTCTCTGACTTCTTCCTCATCTGAAAGATGGGATGACAATCCCCAACCCATAGGGCTGTTTCCAAGGCTCTGTGTGCTCCTAGCACAACCTAGTATACAGCAAGTGCTCAATGCATGCTTGTTTTTCTTTTCCTCCATGGCTCACAGTATCACAGGAGTCTACCTGATTCTCTCCACAGTCCAGAGAGTTGAATGCTAATTTCCCTTGTTCACAGAGGAGGCAAGGAAGGACTGGCCTGGGCCACCACATCCAGATGCAGAGGCGGCTCCCCAGGCTCGCTGGCTCACCTGCACCTTCTTCAGAGCCACCGTCTTCCTGTCCAGCAGGCAGGTGGCCTTGTACACCTCGCTGAACTGTCCTCGGCCTATCTTCTTCTCGATCTGGAAGTCCGCCAGTGAGCAGCGAAATGACAGGGTGCTGAGGTGCCTCTGGAGGGTGGGGGACAGAGGGTGTTGGTGACCTGGACTGGAGGCTGGAGTGGAAGCCTGGCCCTCAGTGGCTGGGGAAGCCCTAGAACCCCAGCAACCCCAACAGCACCCTCTAAAGTGGAGGGACTTGCTTCCAACCCTACCATCAGAGTCTCCCATGCACCCTTACTTTCTGCACTGCATCCCATGTGCTCCCCACACTGACCCTTGCTCAGGTGAGAAACTGAGCTGTGCACTGTCCTCATCACCACCTTTGTGAGCTGACGACTCATCTGTCTGCCTGTCTCCATCTGAGTCCTGTCCTGGGAGACTGGCTCCACGGGGCTGGAGCCTGCAGCCCTGTTCATGTCTGAAAGCTTTATGCCAGGTCAGGGCAGCAGGCAGAGCGTGCAAAACAAACACCTCCACTGGAGATGTGAAGTGACTTACAAGGTCGCCATGTTGCCAGGTAGCCTGCTCTGGGAGGCTGCATTAGCGTGCAGCTCAGGTCTCACTAGCCACAGCCACCAAGCATGATGCCTCTGCAAAGTGGCAAGTTCCCATCCTGGAGTAACTGTTCCCCGACTCAGAGATGGGAAAGTCAAGCTAAATGTGCAGCCTTATGTCCTGAGTTCACTCTCTAGATAAGCTGTCCTCCTCATGGTGACATGAAGGGACAGCCTCAGGTCTTTGCACAGCCGGCATTGAAGCCTGCGACTGAGCAGCAGGATCTTCCCTTGGAAGGAGCAGTGAGGTGAGGTGGCAGCAGACAGCAGCCCATCACACATAGACAAGAGGCAGGAGGACATCAATGCCAGGCCCTGGAAGGAGAGAAGATCTGCCCCACATTGGCCTAGTGAAATGGGCCCTTTATATCTCCTTTTGCCTGGTGAGGAAACTGAGGCCCAGAGGGGCCAGCCCTGCCACCTCACCTGGCTCCATGCAGCTCTTGATAGTTCTGTACAGAGCCCTGCCCACCCTCCCTCTACAATCACCACTTGCCACTGTGGGTTGGGGTGTCACTGACACGGGGACCATCTCCCTGGCTGGATGGTGACATGAGGCAGGACTGGGTCTGGTTGTCTCTAGATGCACAGGGATGCTTCTGAGTTCAGCTGTGGGGGTAGGGTGGGGCTAGAAATGCTCAGGGTCCCACTGAGCCAGGAACAGGCAGCTGAACTTTCTAATGTGAAGTGGGTCTTTGCGGAGGGTCCTGCTGAGCTGTGTGCTACATCAGGCATCTTTAGGAACCCCCGCCATGGCAGAAGGTGTCAAGATCACAGTCAAGAACTGCAGGCCGGTCCCTGTGGACAGCTGCTTCCCCAGCCAAAACCAGACCAGCACCTGTGGGCAGGATTTGCTGTATTTCAGCCTGGGATGATGGCCCAGCCGAGGCATGTTTTCCAGGAAGATCTGAGCTGGCTCCACCCACCTGTCCTCTATCCTCCTCCTTCTTCTGGGGTGGCAAAGGGAAAGCTGGTTATGTGATGATCCCCAGCCTGGGACCCTGAATCATGACTTCATGAAAAATAAAAACTCATTGGAAAAGTGGGGAGAAAATGAAGTGAAAATGCCTCTTCCAGATTTGGGCCAGACTGTCCAAGAGGGCAGAAGATCCAGGCACTGGGCTGCACTGGAACTTTCCCTGGAATGCAAATGTTTAGACCAATCAGCCAGCCCTGGAAGGAGCTTTGGGAACTGCCAGGTGACCAGCGGTCAAATGCAGGCTCAGAGTGTCATTCTGGGCCAAGCGGGCTGGGTTCCAGTCCCAGTTCAGCTGCTCACTGGCTTGGTGACCTTGGGCAGTTATACAAGCTGCTCTGTGCCTCAGTTTCCTCATCTGTAAACAGAGCTGACAGAAGTACACTGATCTCCTAAGGTGGTTATGTACATTATTTCTTGCCAGGTGCAGCACACAGGGGGTTTCAGGGCCCATCATCTTGTTACTGACAGGCCTAGGCAGAACAAGTGACTAGGGCCTCAGAGGTTCCAAGTGGCCATTCTCTGTCCCAGTTCCCACACTTTCTATGTCTTACCAGCTTCCTGCTAAGCTGCTGCACCCTAGTTCCATTGCAAGGAAACTCTATGGAACCCCCTACAGCCAGGAGCCAGGGAAGAAATTCCAAGCTCAGCAGCCCTCAGCAAGGCAAGCATTGGGCCAACCTTGACTTGGGGGTCTGATTTCCTCCCATGGTGGTCCTACCTGGGCCCCGGATTGGCTGACGGAGGAAAGTGATGATTTTTTTTTTTTTTGAGTTGGAGTCTCACTCTGTCACCCAGACTAGAGTGCAGAGGCCACTCCCGGCCACCGCAGCCTCGACCTGATGGGCTCCGGCGATCCTTCCACCTCAGCCTTCCGAGTAGCTGGAACTACAGGCATGCGCGAAAGTGATGATTTTGGCCACCATGGACCAACGTATGTCTGTTGGATAAGTTCCTTCTAGCAGTGATCAGCCTACCTGTACACTGAGCACCTACGTAAGATGCAAAGGCAGGACTGAGAGCTCATGGCGTCCCAGGCCCTGTGCAGAGTTTCCAACATGCTGCCTGCTGGAGTCTCAGGATGACCCTGTGAGCAGGCCTTGCTGCCCTTCTCATCTCAGGAGCCTGAGGCTAAGAGAAAAACCTGAAGGGATGACAGAGCTGGGACCTGACCCTGCGACTGGGGATGATGGTGTCCATACTGATGGCCTCTCAGTTCAGATTCCTCCTCTGCTTCTCTGAGACCCCATGGTCAACCAGCCCACCACTTCCTGCTCCAGCTGCGATTCTGTCATCCATGTGAGCCCTGCCCCATGCTCCAACTACAGGCATAAGGGGGCCTGTCTCAGTCCCTGGTGCAAGGCTCTGACTTGCCCAAAGCCAGTGTTGGAGCATGCTTGTAGAATGACACAATGGAAAGCACTCAACACAGCCTTGCACACAGTGGGACTCTGTGACTCAGCTGTTGTCACTTCTAGGAATGGAAATGAATCAAGCCCTCGGAAAGAGGTAAGGTGGCTTTCTCAGCATTTGGAAGAATCACACATGCTCTTAAAAATAACCATGCATGTGTATTAGGCATCTACTGTAGATCAGTTACTAGTTGCTTAGATAGATTTTGTGACTTAAATATTCTAAGAGTCTTGTCAAGCAAGAGTTATTTTCTCATTTTATAGACCAGGAAATTGAGGCTTGACTTCCTTGTGGGATACAAAGTCAGCTGCATTGCCAGGTGACACAGAGTAGAGTCCCTCAATTCTCAGGCCTCAGTTTCCTCTTTGGTACAGTGAAGTTTGGAGGAAGTGACCTTCAAGGATCTTTACTTTGGAAGCACCAGGCTTCTTCTCACCTGGAAGTGAGAAGTGGAAGGTTGGCCAGAGTCCCCAACACCCTCTGCTCAGCTTGGGAGGCTACACTGCCCAGTTCCCGAAGGATGTGGGTGACATCCCAGCATCCCTGAGACTCCAGCTGCTCATCTGCATATGGATGACCCAGATTTGCATTTCCTGTCACAACCCATTCGACCTAATTAGAGGAATGAGCTCCTCTGGCAGGGCAACCTCCATGGGCAGCAGCACCATGTGGGAGGGCACAGCCCAGCAGGCTCTGGGGCCATCGCTGCCCTCAAAGGGTTGTGATAAGGCCCTGCCCCTGGGGTGGCCTCTGCTCAGGTGTGGGGCACATCGGGACACAGGGTTCTGGGGGCAGCGGCCTGAGCCAGCAGAGTCTTGACCCTGATGTACCTGGAGACTCTGGACAGAGAGGAAAAGGTGAACTGCCTTCCTCTCCCCCAAGACCAGGCTGCTATGACCACCTCCACTTCCTTCTGGGCCAGTTCTACTCTTGTCCCTGCAGCCAAGGGACTCCAGGGCGTTCATCCATGCATAGGACAAAAACACCTTCCTCAGGAATTCTCTGAGGATTCCAGGAGATGATGATAGTGTTGAGTATCCTGTGGGGTTCCCAACTGCGGGGAAGACATGGGGCTAGTCCTAGCCCCAGATCAGTCCACACGATGGTGGCCCTGACAGTAATCACTGACTGATGGCCTTTCAAAAAATGGTTCCTCTATTGTTTCCTATCTCTAAGACTCCATACTGACTCCTGAGGAAAAGAAATACCCTCTGAGGCACATATAGGCTGGCAGAGGGGCATCCACTTCTCTGGATCAGTTTGTTGAGATAACAACACGGGGCCTGGAGGCTTGGGTTCAAATCTCATCTCTGCTCTTTCCTGGCCGTGGCCAGGGACAAGCCCTTCTGGACCTCGGTTTCTCATCAACATAGCTGAGATCATAACAGTACCCCCTTTGGATGGCTGCTGGGAGATGAAAGAAAGTAACGAATGGAAGCCTTAGACAAGGGCCTGGCACACGGGCTACCCGATGTGAAGTGTTAATTACCAGTACAGCTGTATCGCTTCCTCTGCCGCATAGGGTTCATGATGGCACCTGCTTCCCAGGGGGCTGGGGATGACCCAAGCAGTGAATAAGTTCAGGGGTTTCTCAGCGCTGTGGCAATCACCATCACTATCCCCACTGCACGGAGGGTCTGTGACCAAGGGTTGGCAGTAATGTTAAGGATGGCAGTGGGGCAGTGGGGCTGGTGTGCACCTGCCAGTGGGTAAGGGATGTGGCCTTGTGACCTTGTCGCCCAGGACTGTTTGCCAAGTAAACGTGCTAGGCCCCTTCCCTGGGGTGTGGAGTCCCTCAGCTCTCCCCCAGGGGCAAAGGAGATAGGTCAAGGGGCCAGGGAAATAGGATGCCACCCCTGAGGCATTGGTTCCACACTCTGCTGCCAGTTGCAGTGGGCCCAAAGGACAGACTGATCTGAAGGAGGAGGAGGCTGAAGAAGCCTCTGGGAACAAGGACGCAGGGCAGCAGAAGGAACATGGCAAACAGGAGCCGATGAGACGGCTGAGCTCCCCGAGTTGCCTCTGTCCCCAGTCCCACCCTTCCAAGGGATACCGCCAGCTTTCTCAGGAACAGGCAGGGTATACCTAGGAGATACCCCACCCAGAGAGCTTGAGAAACCAAGGCT